ACAAAAATGGTATTCAGACTTAAACGTGCAAAGGAATATAAAATATACAAAATCATTTAGCATTTAAATCATTTGCTTTTGTAAACTTATGAGTTTACTTTTTTTCATCATTACTCGACGTATGGATATAAAATTTGCAAATATTTCTTCGCGTGTTTCACTAAATGTTATTATATCTCACGCATAGTTTTTTTGATTTCAACGTAAACATTTAATGTGACTCTTTACAGTAATTATATTAAAAGACATTAAAAATGTGACCCCGAAAATAATGATATATATTTTAATTTTGTTCTTGTTTTGTAACTTATTAATTAAATTTCAGAAAAAGTTTTCAAAAATATATATCGGTAAATAAGATTGTAGAAATGAAAACGGAACAATCATACGTGATTGAAAGTCAAATTCTGTAAAGTAAAGGAATTCTGACAGAGAGAGTGACGCTGCATTCAGTACAGGATAATTTTAAATTGTTACTGTTTTTCATGATTGTATTCTAAAAAATTTTATAGATTTATTATTGGAAAAAAAGAAAGGAAATTCATTGAACGCATAAATACTACTTAATTGATACATTGTATAATGTATGGTTAAGAAGGATTAAGAAAATATGCAAAAAGTGGATGGAATTAGAACAAAAAGAATGTCGCTGCTTGTCATTTGCTTCATTTTTGCTGCTTTGGTGACTGAATCAGTGAATTCGCAAGGGGACTGCGATTGTGAAAATGATTACGAACCTCCATTCTGTGAAACAATAACCGCAGTAAAGTGGGTACTAAGAATCAGAAATAAAGCGCAAAGAATAATAATAGAATAATAATAAGGATATTATAATGTAATAAATGATAATGACAACATTGAAACAAAACATTTGTAATTTTGTAGCGAAAGATATTGTTATACAAATGGAAAGCTCACTGATGCACTGACATTGCAAGGTATTCACTGTGCAAAAAACTGTGGTACATGTTGTAAACTACAACGATTTCAATGCAGTGATATGCCTGGTATGAATTATTGCAAGCAATATTCATCTAGTGAACTCAACACTATCTTTTTTCATGTAGTTCAAATGCCATGCAAATATACTTTATCTATTACCAATGAACTATTTGAAATAATCGATGCAAGAAACTGACGCAAAATCCTGTTTATTTTTTTGCGTTCATCTGATTCCATGCAAATTTATGAAGATGGATAATTCCCAGATAAATATGTTCAAGCAAGCATACAACTACTTCAAATACGCATGGAATTTGTACATTATTTATCTTTATTTAAGAAAGAAAGTATGTTATTTCGATTTCAGTGCATTTGGATTGTAACTACGTGAAAACAAGTGGTTTGTGTGGAAGTTCAAACGGAGCAGTTAGCGGTCTGATCAATATGGAATGTGCAAGAACTTGTGGAACTTGTGGACAGGAGTGTGTGGACAGCAACCCAATCCTTTGCAGTATTATGAAATCAAGCTGTCAGAGTTCTGAATCTCAGAGGTTATGTCCGAAGACGTGTGGAGTCTGCGAACCAGCGAGTTTGTCTTGGAGTTATGCTGTTTAATTGAGCGATACTCACTTCCGGTCCAGTTTAATATCATGCAATTGGTGACAAATTTAGACCTAATTGAGGCAATTTATGATTAATAATGCTACGGCCAGCTAATTCGATTCAGATGTTTGCTTCGACATGGGAAACTTTTGTTCAAACTTGAGAGACAGCTGTAATGATCCAAAGCTGATGCCTCTGATGATGACCTCTTGCAACAAAACTTGCAACTTTTGTGACGCTCAGCCATCCGAAGTTCCGCCACAGCCGACGTCGCCTTCAGTTGCTGGGCCTTGTGCAAACACTGATCCAAGGTTCTACCTTTTTCATCTGCAGTATCTTTTAATTTATTTGCAAAACGAAGCAGGCGTTTTGTTTAATGATACTAAAGAAGTTAACAGCAATGTAATTTCAAGGAGGAGATTCTATATAAAATCGAGAGTGGATGTTAAATACTCTGAATCTCTCAATTAAAACCTTCAATATACAGACTGATTTCAATGATTCAATACCGATTTTAGGTGTCCTACTTGGGCAGCCAATGGATTCTGCAGCAATCCATTTTATGCACCTCAAGTTGGCAACTGCAGGAGGTCATGTAATTTGTGTCAATAAATGATTTCATACGTGATTTCCCGCTTAACGAAATTCTGCTGATGTCAATATCATATTGAAAGCTAATTTCCTTAAGTGTATCTTTAAAACTGTTTTTCGCAGTACGAGTGCAATATCAATGCTTTCGTGTGAAATATAGTAAATTATTTGAATAAAACTCGTGCGACCACGTGTGTCAAGCTAGATACATGGGTTCAAATAAATATTAGAATTTGGAAGAAAGCAGTATTTTTCGAAAGGTCACAGATAAGAGAAAGAACAGTAATCTTTCAGCTTACAATAGGCGTTTATCAATTCAGATCATTCATTACTATTTGCTACGTTTCTTCTCACATAGCGAAGGTATGAATCACGTTCTATTCTAAGCAGTGCACTAAACTACTTCATTTCTAGCTCAACAGCTACAATATTAATTTTAAATGTTTCTAGTATTCAGTAAAATAAGCTCAGAGCTTGTATCATAAATGCAAATGATTGATTCAAAGCGACATCCGTTCAGATACAAAAATGAAGTTTATGTGATCTGATGCATGTGGTATTGCTAACCTTACCACGTCCAAATTTGTATACAATACTTACAAATGAAATTTGGGCCAGAATCTTATTGCCCAGCTTTTTTCCAAATTAACAGAATTATCTAAATGACTAAAGAAAATTGTAGTCTTCAAAATTCTGCTCCGCCATCAATTTAGTTTTGCTTATTTAGAGTTTCTGCTTTTGACTTTAAGATTTGATAGCATTCACAACCCAATGTGTACTTCTAATTTAGCATCAATTTTTTCAAGAAATCAAGTTTTGTGGTCAATAATATATTATTTTTACTAAACTGGCTTTCCTTAAGTTAACGAGAATTCCTGATATTTATTTGGCAACAATATTTCTCTTCAATGAAAGGTTGTCATGTAATGCTTCAGACATTCTGCATTATACAAGAAACATAACTATCTGTTCATTTCAGTTTCCTCCTCTCGAATATAGTCTTTCTGATAAACGGAGCAAATTCTCTGGAAATGAATCTACCACTGATATGAATGAATTTGTGTGATGTCATGTTGAAAATGAATGAGAAATAAAGATTAATACACAAAGATATAATTTTAAATTCACAAAAAGCAGGAAACCACAGTATCATAAAATAGCTATGTATCAAATGGAAAGTGAAGTAGTTCTAAACACAAATCTGAATCGAAATCAGTTTTAATAGATTCACACGAGAAACATAGCTTCATGATGGTGCATTGAATTTATTACAGCTTAATCACAAATACAAATTTAGAGCAGTCGAAAGCTCACTGCAATGCAAATGCATAAGGCAAAGGCCGACCATTAATGAAGATAACTTGCAAAATATATCTCTCACATGACCTTGTGAGGTCAAATAAGCAGTTTATAGTAAGCAGCCTGGAAGATGTAGATGCATTATTATTAATCTGAGCAGGATGAAAGTAAAAATTTACTTATTAATTGAATCATAAATTGCTTACTTTAGAAAGCAAAATTGCAAGGAATATTATTACTAAAAAATTTTACTGATGATTATATTCTTTTTAGTATGAAGGAATTTCCAGAAGAAAAATACTACTATTATCGTTTTTGATTGTCAAGCAAGTCATGCCTCATTTCACTGGGGATTTGTCAAAAATCAACCTTCCCAGAGCTTCTTTGGTTTGATACGTTTGTTGTAAAGCAATACATTTTGCAGTTACAAAAATTGAAAAGTGAAAATAACGTAGTCACAAAAATATAACAGATGTTAAAGTAATTGAATAACTAGAGTCGGAATCAAATTAATTGTTCAACTGATGAAATAAAAACTAATACGTGAAAATTCTGCGTGAGTTGATTAAACTGCTCAAAACTTTTTAAACGCAACTTTTCTTTTGATTATGTAGATCATCACCAAGTATAATCTAAAGCTTGATCTTATTATTTTTTTCATTTAAAAAAATATTGCACAGTGTTATTAACTAAAGCATAGTTAGAATATTTTTTTGCTGATTCTGTTCGCTTTTAGATTCTGCTAATAATTATGTTTATAGAACGATAATCATTTCACCAGTAATGAAAGATATATCAATGTTAAAATTATCAGTTTAAAGGTCATATCAGAAACATAATTAGCAAAAGAACGACGTTTCCGCATTTTTAGTAGCTAAAGAATTGCAAACTTTCTAATTGAATTAATTTAAATCCTTTCGGTAATTATTTTTCACCTGTTCTCAAATTATTACATTACTCAATTTTATTGCTAATGTTTAATCTGGTAGATTTAGAACTAACTGATTCTAGATAGTAGAAAAAGAGATGTTTGAATTGGTTCTCAGAATGCACTCAGATCATCACCAAGTATAATCTAAAGCTTGATCTTATTATTTTTTTCATTTAAAAAAATATTGCACAGTGTTATTAACTAAAGCATAGTTAGAAAATAATTTTTCTCTTATGAATTATTCGATAATGTCTAAGCGTATTTTTGGAGTCACTTTTACACCTTTTGACCTCTGGCAGATGGACAGCGAAAAGCGCATGTCTGAGTTGGCGGCTATTGTGATGGTTTCTGTCTCTGAGACAGTCAGCGATAAATCACGTTTTATCCCAAGCGTAGCACCAATTCGATGCCAGTCAATCAGTTACATTGCAAACAGTAAAAAGATATATTCAATTGTATAATACCTGAAATGTTATTCTGAACGTCGAGAATTGAAAAAATTTGCATAATAATAGACACTGCCTGTATACATCATAATAGGCCCTACCTGTATACATAATAATAAGCACTGCCAGCCTTCACTAAATTCCTTATTATATTTTCCAACACCTTTTTTTGGAATATTTAGCCATGTATTCTTGTGATGAACTTAAAATCCCATATCTTTTTCACTTTTATAAAGTCTAAAACATCATTTTAGGCGTGGGATTCTAGAAATCTATCACATTACAATTCTAGAAATCTATCACAGAAATCTATCACATTACAATTCTAGAAATCTACAATTCTAGAAATCTATCACATCTACAATTCTAGAAATCTATCACATTACAATTCTAGAAATCTATCACAGACACTTTTCATTTGTTTGCATAATCATTGTAGATCGATGCAAAAAAGTCATAAATAACTGTATGGAATACAGTTATTTAATGATAATTCAGTAATTGTGTCTGGTAGAAAATGCTCGGGCATAATTTTTGTTGTCTTGCACCATACTTATGTTAAAAATGTATCTCGACAGTAATCAAGCGCAACTGAATACCAAAACTCTTCTCCTGCAACTGATGATTACTTTTTGAAAACCAAAACTTTTAATGTTATTTATTTGAATCATTGTAACTGTTGTGAGTGATGATAGCGGTAGTGTGTTTAAGGATTCAGATTCTTGCAGTAATATTGCGACTTGCAAGTGCTTTGAGTCAAGATCTAACTTGTACAGATGCTGACTGTAGAACACCATTGCATACAAAAGTTACTATCTTGTTGTATTGCAGTGCTACAATGCTTACAATTACATTAACAAATATTCTTTTAATAATATATCACTTAGTTTAGGTTGGCTCCAACTTTTCTGTATATGGTATTACACGAAATGGTGCAATTTTTGTAACTAATTTGATGGTATTTTCTCGCCCCAATTTCCGAAATGACTTGGAACTTATTGACGCAAGTAGACTTATTCCACTGTTAATTTTTAATATAAACGCTTTCTCATTTTAGTATTTGATAGTAATAATTTACATAAATCACATTAATATTACAAACTGAAAAGGTTAAAAGATCGTGACACTTTCATAATTTTCGTTATTCTTTTAATTAACTGTATCACTTTCTTACCATTTATTCAATAGTAGAATTTGAGCACAATTGAAGTAATTTTACTGTATATTCGATAGTAGAATTTAAGTACAGTAAAGTAATTTTACTGTATATTTTGTTGCCTAATACTTAAATATTATTTTATTATACTTTGATTAAAGCAACTTTCACTATCAAAGTGGATTGCTTAATTAAACACCGCCGCAAATATTCTAATTTGCAGATGTGAATAGCTTTGATTGCTCCACTGCCACTGTGCATATTATTTCTCCTGGAAATATTAATAATTCTGTAAGCATTTCTAGTAATAATGATTTTAATAACTCAAATAAAACTATAAAAGCACTGAAAATCAAAATTATTAATAAATAATTTTATACAAAATACAGTCAGCTATTGTTTAATTCACAATTGAAATACTCATCATAACTAATTAAATAATATTTTCCGATATTGAAATTGGTGGGAAAAGGATTTATTGGTAGAAGTGCTGGAAATCAAAATATTAATTAATCAAAATATTCAAAAAATATTATTTTAAATGAAATATAACAAATGAACTTTTTGAAATTTATTCTTGCCGTTTCTTTGAATCACAAAAAAAATTTTGCTACAGATGAGATCTTTGCAAACAACAATAAGAATTAATGAAAGGATATATTAACCAATTAAAAAATTTTAAAAAATGTCGGATAAAAGTTTTGAGATGGCGGCAAGAATCAGCAGAATATGAGAAATTAAATGAGCATTAATCTGAAAAATGTGATTTCAGAATAAAATAAAAAAGTGAAAAACGTGAATTAAGTTTGAAACGTCAATTTTTTTTATTTGAAAATGTAAAATATTTCAGTTCAGAGATTATTTATAACTTTTATTATAATCATTTCATGCAAACAATTACAAATTTGTGATAAAATTAGGGCTAAGTTTTGTTGGTTTGTTAGTTAATTGGAAAGTAATTCAAACTTAATGCCAAAATTGGAATTTTTATATTTTATAAATTTAATTCAGTGATGGCTAATTTCAGAAATAAATGTTATAACAAAATTCAGAAAACAAAAATAATACTGCCTATTGCTAATAGAGTAAAGAAATTCAAAAAAATTAAGACATTGTTTTAACTGTTATTGAAAAACTTTTACTTTATGAAAAAATGATTACTTAGAAGTTTAGAAACGAAAATACTGTTTTTAATTACTGTAAAAAACTTGCAATATTCTGAAATAAGTAATTTTTTAGACAATTAAAAGCAATTTTATAACGAATTCGTATTAAGCACATGTATTATTTAATTAATTAGACTTTCATTCATTGAGTATTTTTATTTGAAAGATTGATTTTAAAATTTTACAAATTTAGAATCCAAAATTTTTCATTGTCGATGCACCAAAAGGACGCATTATCGTACCGTCTTGTAAATGGACAGTTTACAGTGAATTTTTGTACTGCTCTGTTGACTGGCGAAAGGCGCAATTCATACGAATCAATAATTGTCACCAACCGATGTTGGAATTAAAAATTTTTGAATCATTTTTAAAGCTCAGTCATTAGAGACTAAAATACAGAAAAACTGAATCAATTATTGAGAACTTGATTCCTCAAGCAAATTTCAGCATTCAAATTATATTTCTTTTAATTAATATGATGAATTATCATTTTTAAATAATTATTATTATTTAAACGAATATTTTAGCATGAAAACTAATTTATTTCCAATTAGTATATTGTTAATGAATTGGATGTTTGCATACTTTAGTATATTAAAATGTAAAGAGCTAAAAAATTAGAAAGATTAATAATAATTTTGTGAATTTAACGTGCGAAATTCGTATTTATTTTTAACGGAAATATTTTTTTGTATCTGATTAAAACACAATTTTATAGGTTTTATTACGCAAAACGAGAAAATAGTCTATATTATTTATGTGATAATATGAGCAACGTATCAGACTTGAAACTTTTTACCAAAAATGACTTAAAGATACAATTTATAAAGCAAGGATATCAGAACAATTTTTTGCATCGCCGTTTGTCGCAAGATGTTGCGAATGTTAATCATCTTGGACAGATAATCGCTTGGAATCATAGTCACACTTCTTTAGCAAGTGGCTTTTTTCAACATTTCTTAAATTAATTATCAATTTTTTAAGCATTTTCTAAAAATGGATTTTTCAGTTTTAATAATTTTTGAATTAAGCATTAATTTTTAGATGTTTTTAATAAATTGCAAATATAAGCCAAAATAAGTTTAAAAACTTTGCAAGCAATTATTTATAAAAAGCTTAAGATGAATAATTTACAGTGAATGGTGCATTTTAAGAATGCTAATGAAATACTCTACCGAGTATTAAATATAAGTTACAGTAACACGTCCTACATATTTTATGAATAATATCAATTTACATATTTTATGAATATTATCGATTTGCATATTTTATGAATAATATCAGTTTTATTTCGTTTTTGGAAAAAATGAATAATTTATTTGACAAAAATGAGAAACAAGTAATTGATGTAGATTGATTGATCAGTGTTGATGATGAGTAATTGATCTACATAATTGATGTATTAGTGTAGATCAGTTATGTAGATCAATTACTATTATTATTATTATAAATTATGAAAAAATACTTTTAGAACAATTTTTTGGTGATTCTGACTTTCTACTCGAAACTGACCGCTTACTAAATTGTATTGTGAAAGAAAATATACGTTATGTACTACAAACGGCAGTATCGCAATTTTGTGTTATGGAAGTTTCACTTCTAAAATTTCAAATGTCTATACAATTACTGCCAAAAGGAATCACCAAAGTAATCAACAGATTCCATAATAATTGCATAATAAATAACAATATCAAATTTGGATTAATGCAATTAAAAATTTTAAAATTAGAGTTTTTCCTGAAGACAAATGTAAATACGTGATAGAAAACTGTCAACTACATAGTACAGTTTGAGGATATTTTAATGAAATAATTCAAGGATATGCTGGTTGATTTGTTAAAAGCACGTGTAGCAAATAAACTACCAGTGAAAAACCGAGACTTACGCATAAATGTATTATCACTAGTCGTCACTAAACAAGTTATTAATTTCTTGATTAAATTATTCACACAACTTTTTATTATCAAAAAATTATTTTAAAAGTTAAATTAATAATATTTGCGGTTATATAACCTATTTTTTGTCAAAAAACTATCTGTATCTCACTTCTACTAACAAAATACATTAATTTCATTACTGTACACGACTGAAGTACAAAAGATCAAAATGTATGGAAACAAACAGGCCTTAAAGCAACAATGAAAAAGTTTTACTTTATAATTTCGAACATCACATAATTTTTGTTATAGAAATCAATGGTTGAGGTTCGACGAACACCAAGTATACCTGTCGATACCACCAATCTAAGTATACTTATCAGTATAATCTTGGCTATTCCAACGTATATATGTTTCTTTATCATTCTTTGCTTCCTATTTATGCGATGGAAAATTACACTTATTCGTTATTTCACATTTATTCTATGAATGCATTGGATTATTTAAAAGAAACACTACACCATTTATCTGTAAGATTAATTTTTAAGCTCTTAGCTTTAAAAAAAAGGCAACACAAAAATTAATCTTACACATATATTCATCATAATTGTAATCATGAGTGCTTATTAAAGAAATAGCAGAACAATGAATGGATTCTGAAACTCTGATTCTGAAATTTACTACAGATTCTTAAAACGAGAATATCTTTTTTTCTTTTGAATAAAAAATTAGTTAATTTATTTTGCAAAAAAAAAAAAATTTAATATTAAACACAAGACTGCCATTTCTAAAATCACACGTACGCGAAAACCACACTTTAATGGGATCAAAGGTCTGTTCATCACATAGTGATTTTACTTCACATCTCAAACGTAATCTTATCATGGTTTTGCTGGATGTTTTTTAAGCTTTGTATTGCATTTTACTTGTATGAGTTAATATTTCTGAACTCAGTTTTGTTATGCAAAACATACACTTTATTAGTATAGAACAAAATAGAAACTGTACAATACAACGATAATATTTGCATTAACATTGATAAGTAGTAAGATGGAAAACACTTAAATCAAAATGCGAGCTTTAAATTGATAAATAAAAATGGAAAATATACTCCGAGAAAGTTTTTGTTGAAAGAAAAATAAAATGTAACTAACACCACGGAATTTCGCTCCTGAAAAACACCATGACATTTTCAGTGCCCCTGAAAATACCATGAAATCCACTTTATTACTTTGTTGTATTCATTTCATGCAAATTTGGAGTTCTGAAAATCGCAGTAAGTCGAAGTATCAAAAATTGGTTATCTATGCTATGCATACTTTTATTCCATTTTCATTTTGGAAGAAGGCAAAAAACTGTCTTATTTGAGTCTAACAATCGTTAGAACATCAGAATCCCAGTTTCTGATGACCACATTGAAGGAAATAGAAGTTCAAATTAAATTACGATTTGATTCCGTAAATCGGACAAACTAATTCTTCTAATTGGTACTGTTAAACATGTATGCTTCAAGGAAGTGAGCAAAAAGCATAAAACTTGAGATAAATTCTTTACTGTAAAAAAAATTTTGCCTCCTCGTTTATTTTTAAAACTGTAATAAAAATACAATCAAACGAAACTTAATAAGTTATTAACTATATGCGAAATTCTAACGAAAGCCAGAAAATATTCTGGTGCATATTGTAGTTGAAAACAGATAAACGGTAGCAACTGAGTACATCCATACTAAAGGAAAAAAACGGTTTCGGTAAAAGGATATACGAATGATTAAAAAAATGATATCATATTCTTTTACCATTCTTTTTGGGTAGACCATAACTTTTTGTACACAGTTCATTGATCTGAGATGAAAATTTGCTTTACTTGTTTTGGTTTGAAAATTAATTAATTAGAAATTATTACTGTAATTCTCTATCTCATTATAATGAAAACTGCTACCAGCTGAGTATTCAAAACCATATAAATCTTCTGGCAAATAATTTATCTGTGAATTAAGTTGTTGGTTAAAAACTACCGTCATCATCACCAGGGTTAAAAATGTAATAGTAGTGCAAATCCGAAGATATAATAGCTCGAAAAATCTAGAGTTTTAGTACTTGGAAAAGTATGCAAGACATAAAATCCAACATAATATCAGAAAATAAAACACTTTTCCAATGTCAAAAATTAACATGTATTACGATAACCTAGTGAACTAAACACTATGCAAGGAATTTGACAACAGTTTACAGCGCTTATTCCGTATGATTTTCGTGTAAGTGTTGTTTGAAGTAATTTTAATTTCGAGTTTTTTTCATATAATTGAATCCCTTTCCCGGTTTGTTAACAGCGCACACGTCTGAAACTTTTTACTACAGAATTTCAGCTTTTAATTTTACTTTGCTGATACAGTATCATTTATATTCTTATATTATCGATGTGCAAATGATGATTTTTTTTTCTGGGGCAAAGTATAAGAAATATAATTCACTATCACCTTATGTCATATGATGATGATTTTCAAGCTACCATCAGAAGCTAATTCTTCTGGTACTTTGAACACAGAATCTTGAGATCTTGAGTTTTACTTAGTATTAGAATCTTTACTTAGTATCAGTATCAGAATACTTGAGTATCAGAATCTTGAGTTTTCTAAAATTTTTACTTTTTTCTTTTATTCTACTATTCAAGCTATATTATTGGTATAAATCAATTTTTGATGAATGCTAAGTTTTTTTGTTTTTTTCAATAATAATAAAACTTACCGGCTGAAAATTCGTGATATTAGATCGTATACACCTTTTCGAATTTCCCGCGAACAATGATGTACGATGTAGGCTTTTGGAATAGAATTTAATAATACTATTATATCAATTGTAGCTAAAATTTTTGGTGTACTCATACCAGTAATATTTTTCAACAAAATCCACACAAATGATAACACATAAAATGCAGCCATTGCAAAGCATGAATATGCGGCCATTAAAGTGATATTTAATTGTAATTTGTCAATTTTAACTGCTCGCAAACGCTGAAGAAAATGTTATATTTTCAAAAGGAATTTTTAATAATTATTCATTAAATTAACTTATTTTAATGAAGCAGTATATCATCTACTTGATTATTTTATCATTTTTGTAGTGGAAGGTCAAATGACCATAACTAAACTGACAATGTGATTAAATTACCTGATTCCGTGTTTTCTTGAGATAATTACGTACAAATACAAGAGACAAAATATGCAAAGCAACACTTAAAGTAGTCGCAGCAATTCTAGAACCAGAAAGTAGACTGCTAAGTACAGCACAACGAGTTTCACTAGTCCTAAGTTTTATTTATTTATGAGTAGTGTGAAAGTAATTTATTCTACAAATTAATCTCATTATAACAACACTTACATATATAATCTACAAATGCAAATTTTTGTAATTGTTTTATATTACAAAAATGTTTTGTATGAATATAACAATTACTAACTTGCTTTAAATATGAAAAATAATATTTCTTCTCAAGACAAAAATGCTTGTATCATGTATATCTTGGTCAATTTCATGAAAGTAAGTTGAAAATTGATAAAAATTACCAACAAAGACTCAGAATAGTCAAGTGTGTTTCGTACGAACATGATATGCTTGCACAAAGTGATACGATAATAGAAACACTGCTGCCCATAACCTGTAATTTGATATTTGAATACTGAGTTAAATTTTAATTTTTGATACATTTCGTCAGGAAATATTGTGCTTTGTTTAAATCAAATGCTTGTATTTTGCTCACTAAAATATTGGTTTCATTTGGGCTAATCCCAAGTTAATCCCAGCTTTCTATTGAATTATTAAATTGTATAAATTATGATTTGACAGACCAAATAATTTTGAATTGCTGACATGTTTCTGTAATATATGTCAGGCAAAGCCACTGAAAATAATCTGTCGATAGCGATTATAAGCATGGACATACCAGTCATTATATCTGTCCTAAAGGTACGTATTTGCTTCTTGCTATTCAGATCATTCAGACTAGTCGAATTTTGTAACTAATTGAATTTGTAATTAATTAAGGTAGAAAATAAATTCGTGAAAAGAATTTGCTTACTTTGTTACAGTTTTAATATGAATATTAAACAAATTTAGTTAATAGTGAACAGTTAATATTCCAAAAACAAGCAGTAATGGATCTCAATTTAATTTCAAAAATTTTTATAAATGTATAAAAAAATAAGCGAATTAACCATGAAAATATGATAGTATACGGTTGCATTAAACAAGATCGTCTTGTAACATTTTGTATGCCGTTACTAGACAAAATTCCAATTATACTCAAAAGGCCAACTAAAAAATATGCAAATCCCATTAAGCAATGCGCAACAAACTGAAAATGTATTTATCTGTCAAATTTTTTTACTACTATATTTAATTAAAAGCAATATAAACTAACATTTGGTATATATTTTAATTTTTTTTAAAATGCAAACTAGTAAATATTTTATAGCAAACTAAAAAAGCTTGTAATTTAGATTTTTTGACATATATTTATATAAATAGTAAATTTTATTTTACTTCAATCGCCATTAGCCGAAATTTTTGGCGATTGCATTTTGTTTGCATAATTCCAAGAAAGTAAAGCATATTGAGAGTAAAAATAATAAATCCTTCAGTGACATACACCGTTATAAGCAATACCATTTTAAAGTAATACTTTAAGTATTTGCAAAGTTAAATAAAAACTAGCAGGATGAATTTTCGTCCTTATAAGGTTTTATTATATTGCATTTAAATCTAACTACTACTTTTAAGCTCTTGAAGATAATTACAGAAATTACTGCCAGTCATCACTACAATTTCCTTTTTATATACACTAATTACTTAGTAATCTCTTTGAACAAAATCTCTTTTCAATGACAATAAATCGCATAAAAAATCTACAACGTATACTGATGACTAATTTATTCTTCAATATTGATAAAATATCTGATTTTACAACAAAGGAAATTAAATATAATTTGAACCGTTTAATTATTTTGCAGGCCTTTACTGCATCACGTGTGAATTATATACTCGTAATTAACTTATGCTGTTAAATGAAGAATCGAAGAAATGAAGAAGCATAGCTTCACTACTTACGCTATTCCTTCTACTTATATCATCGTAATCTGTATGGTAAGCAACTTTGTTTTTCTCAAATTCAAATAGGCAATGAAGATGACCGCTAGTTGTCCAGTAGCACTTTTCCATTATATGCATTGTAAGGTTACTTAAGTATTTGTTGTACAAATATTGCAGTTTTCATATGAAAGTATGTTTTGCTCTTTGAATAATTAGTGTAATTAATTGCTTGTTATTTTCTATAAAAAAGATTTTTTTGAAATTTTCATTTAGAGTATATGATTAGTCCTTGTAATTATTACTTATATAAATGCAATAAGATTATTAATTATTGCTCGTAAACTTTGATAAAAGCAATAATTAATAATCTTATTCGAAATTATAGCACACATTTAAATTTAGCATTTGGCTATATTTTAATTGCTTACGAAGTTAATTAATTACCTTTATAATGACTGAAAAGTTTTAAAAACTATAATTTGAATTTTATTATAATTAAAAGATATAAAGTGATTATTATTTTATACTGTTTTTTGTATGAATTATTTGTAAGTTTATCCTTGGATAACAACACAATGTACTATCTCTCTTGCAAATGAATGAACAATGATTGGTTACTGTAATTTTTAAATAAAAATTATACCGTGGAAATCAATAAATCAAATAAATAATGCTGTTCGTTTTACACAAAAATAAGTAATTATAATATTTACGAAGTAAATTTTATCAAAGTCTCAATTAATACTTCACTTTTGGAATGTTTTCATACAAATTTACTCGATTTGAAACTGTACCAATTCACTAGTGTTATTAGTGTTATTCTTATTTCATTTTCAGATATTATTAGAGAATCAAGCTTAATTACTGTGATCTATTTTAAATTCATTCTGCTAGTAATAAATGAATGAAAAATAATGCGAAAAGTTAAGGTCGACTGCTGAAAATTGTTACAGCTTCTGCGATTAGTTACTGTATTTTTTGTAAATTCTCGAAACTTGTACCACATTTTGAGATAATGCAAATAATGACTGGTGTTGTTTGTGTTATATTATGCCAAACATCAGTACTGTTTATTTATTATATATATTATTATTTTTAGATATTCAACTATCGATTGATCATAATTGTATAGTAGAAGATTTAATTTTATACTTTCTCATAAAAAGTAATAATCAGATAACGAATTCCATAATGTTAATAAATTACTCTATAATTGAACAGTCAATTTAATTTTGTATGTGCTTAATACAAGCATATAAATTTAAAATGTTTGTTTCATTTATTTGCTAATATTTATTATGGCTTTGTTAATTTTACACTATTTTTTCTCAAAATAAGTTTAACTTAGGCAAAGGAATACTTTACATTTTTAAGACCAATTTATGGAATATAAAAAATCAAAAGCATTTTCAAATATTATGCAAATTTGAAACAGATAAATGTCTGAAATAAGAATATGATAAAGTGATAAATACACTTCATTATCGTTCATTTACAGTGTTTACTTCCAAGATAAGTAGTAGTACGAATTTCCTGAAAACAAAAAATTCATATAATGTCTTTGATCAAAGTAAAAAATGTCATTATCATTATTAATAGTTAATTATTAGTAAATGAATTCTCAAGTTATTCTATCTATTTTATTTCCATGTGCAGATTTTTGATCGAATATAAATCACTTGTATATGTGTATATTTTCAAAATCATACTAATTCATTCAGTATCATTTATCTAGTATTATTAAATCCTTTTGTATAAAAACAGTAAATTGCCACTAATCTAAATTCATCGTTAAAATTTCAAATCAAAAATTTTATTATCAAATAATTCAAATCTTATTAATGTTCAGAATAAAACAGAAGTAGATAAATGGGCAGATCAAGTAATTGGAGCGCCTTTAATAAATAATCCAGTAACGGTACCTAATCAGCAGAATATGTACATCGCTCGTTACATTAGGGAAGGATTTGTATATTTTGGAAAAGCTTGGGATGAATGTGGAGGAGTACAAGTATGATTAATTATTCAATTTTCGGTTATCCAAAAATTTTTACAAAATTTACAGAATCATTTTTTAATCTTTATAATTATTCTTAATTATTTCTGCAAAGAATTATTATTTTTCATGCAATGCATCTGCTTTTATTTTGCTGATTTTAGTCTATAATATGTGTAAAGATAAAAAACAAGAAAAAAGGAAAGTAAATTTTTCAAAAGTGATTAGCACTTATTATTTTACAGTTATTATTGAATAAATAATAAACTATACATTGTTTATTAATTTTTTCGCTTGCATTAAAATTATGTTTGATTGCATTTTCAGTGTGAATTTGCATATGGAGGGAAAAAATTGAAAGGATCTAACATTAATGGTAAAATTCAGGTGGGAAATTAGTAGATATGTTGCTAGCAGCACAGTAATGACAATAACTATCTAACAACATACAATAATAAAAATAGAGTAATTTTGAGATTATAAAAATAAAAGCTAAATTAATACAAAAATTACTGCGTGTTTTAATTAATATTATAACAGTATATCACTTTTTTCATTATTTACAAGAGTGGAAAAAATCTGCGCAAAAGTTTTATAACAAATGTATAATAATAAAATTCACTGATTCTTTCTAGCGGATAGACTCTTCTTTATTTCCAATATTCAATAAAAAATTAAAAATTATTTTAAATAAAGCAATTCTGAAAAGATGTCAGTTTGTAATCTAAATTTGAGCTAGTACTAAGGAACTGTTCCCGCGGTTGTTTTGAATCCATCTATAATTTATATTCGATTAGATTGCCGATCTATTTTGTTAAATTTAAGATTTGATTTTATATTCTAAAATGATCAAATAGTTTTAGATCTTAACTTATGATGGAAATCACATTACCACAGGTTTTTTCTATGAATGGATACAACTTGCTAAATGGTTAAATCACACTAGTGATGGATACCACTCCTTGTTATGTTGTGGTCATTCGAATGGTGTAATATTTTGGCCCCAAAAATCTGCTTTAGGAACATTAAATACAGAAAAAAATATTGCAACATTCGTATGCAATGGGGTACATTTTATTTTAAGAAAAAAACAACTTTTTTTAAAGTTTTTAATCAGTTTTTAAAGTATACTTTTAAAAAAAACTTCAATAATCGATAAAATGTCAAAGATTTATATAACTTCAGAAGGTTATTTCATTAACGGTATCCGAAATTCTCGAATTTTTGGTTCTTGTACGCAACACACGTGATAGACCATTACACTGCTTGTGTGGATATTGCCAAAAAAAAAATTCACTTGAAAAAGTGCGTGAATTTTGCAGTAAACTTTATATTCTAAAAATTTTCAGTTTTAATTTTAAGGATGGAAGCAGATTTTTTATTTTGACTTCAGATATCGTATTCGCCGGCTCGAATGTTAATGGTTAACGAATGGGCTGATTATCATATCAATGATACTTTCCCTACATCCAAGTATTACATTTAATTATTAATTATATTAGTTAAGTAAAATTTGAGTTATAAAATTTGAAATAAAATTTGACAGCACCATATATTTACAGGCATTTGATTAAAGCATTGAATAGACCATTGAATACGTTAGATGGCCCACAGGACCAATATGTTGCTTTATGGTACCATTTTGGTACTGCAGTAATGGGTCGAGCTTGGAACAATTCTGAAGGCAAAATTGCGGCTGCATTTGTTAGGTTGTTGCACCTTTTGTTACATTTAAAGAAGACAAACATTACTACAAATTATATATTTCTATGAAAAGTATCAAAGTTCATCAGATGAATTATTTATTTGCTTGTGATTCTAAATACTTTGGGATGAAATGATGAATTGATATTATCAATTACAGTCTGTAAACGAAATATTTATTTTCTGAAGCTTTACTTCGTCTAATTAATACTTTCTTCAACCTCTTATATATAAGAACAGTAACCTTCGTGTGATAAATCGATATCACACGGTGGTTATTTTTTTTTTCATTACTTGGCGTTAGATCGTATTCTGGATTCTCGCTGCACATGCCTCGCGTTCAGTTCCGGTGTGCTGATCTCCGCTGTTTCGTCCGCGCCGAATCCACGCCGCTGATCGAATGAGATGCTTTCGAGCGTTTCCTTGAGCACTATCGATTACAGATATGGCTCAACGTGATCAGATATGCTGATTTGCGTCGCGTAATGATTGTGGAAGTTCGTCACTATCTCATCGCAAGTCACCAAATACGGAATTATTTTCGTCCTGCATTGCATTTCCTCCAAGAGTTCATTAGCCAGTAAAACGTACTTTCGCTTCTTCCCGGTCTCCACTGCTATCAACTTGTCCAGTGATGCTAACCTTAATCAGGATTGCTTCGCGTCGCTTCTTATCGTGAATCATGATATCCAGTCGATCCGCTTTTATTCTGATTGCAGTTCTCACTCGCATATCGACTCTGATTTCAACGTACTCATTCGTAACGACCTTCTGAACAGAATGGCTTCGCAAGCGCGGGAATGCTTTCAGACCATACTTCTTGCAGATTCCCAAGTGGATGGATCGTAGGACCTCATTATGTCTTCTAGTATAGTCGTGGTGTAATATTTTTTCGCACTGCACTGCTAGATGGCCCACCGTCTTCACACGTTCCCCACAGTGTTCGCACATGCCTTTCTCCCCTCCAAACATATTTCTATCTTAGCGACGACAGTATCGTGCCTCATCTTGCGGGGTAATGTTGCCGTATCGCAGCCATTTTGAATATACTGCAAGGACCCCTTGAGCTATAGGCTCAATATCAGATACTACCCAAAGGTGGAGGTTCCCATCGATCAAGGAATGCATGCAAGAAACCATTCATTATTTGTGGATGATCTTAAGCTTCTTGCTGCCAACG